TCATATCTTATTTTCCTTGAAAACCATCTTTGTTTCCACCTCCTCTATATAGTTTCATACATTGCCTTTTCCTCTTTAAACTTCTTGAGACTCTGAGGATTTCATCTTCTCCTTCTTACTAAGACTTTGAGGTATGGCATTTCAGTGGCTTAATGAGGCTGGAGATTATTTCTGCTTGGCAGTTTGAACTGCAGCACTGTGTGGCAGGGTGAGCTTCCATCACTTGCCTCAGCTTCTGCCCACCTTGCAGTTTTAAAGCATATTCTATGTGAGTAGATAAATAGGTACCAGTTTGGTGGGGAGACGAGTTGGTACGTCATTCAGGCAATCATTCCTGAATCTTCTGGTTGCAATACCCATTTGCGAGGCGGCTCCAGGGGAGGGAGGGGGGGCTTGGATGACACTGCAGGAAGAGCCATTCATTTCCCCCCCCATGCAAAGTTAGCTCACCCTCCTGTGGTGCACAGTGGGAAGCGTGCAAGCATGTACCTAACTGCTGGTAAACCGGCAGCCAAACTACCACTTTACAATAGCATTGTAGTATCCTGGCTAATGTTCTTTCATATTGGTCACTCATTTTTGTACTCAGTCCACATTCAAGTTTTCATTTATTCTTTATCCTTTTCTGTTTTTACCACACCTGCTTCTTACATAATACTTTCCTATTGCATTCAGCTTTTATATATATATATTTTAATGTAGCCAATTCTCTTCCATGTAACAAAGTAGCCAGGAGCATGCTCCAACCTACAGCCACATCCCAAAATTACTCCACTTTTCTATCTTTAAAAACATTTTATCAAGATATATAAAATAATTTACCTGCTGTAATTTTTCACATATCTTAAAATTTTTCACGTGTTTCATATCCCTTCCCAAATTCTCTCATATATTAATATTCAGACCTGTGCCTGTTGTTGCATCATACCATCTAATATTTGCTGCAAATCATTTTGAGTTCTCAGCCAAGTACATATGCTATTCACAGTGCTAATTAACCTATCTTCAGCATTACGACAAAGACTCCTATTAATATACCAGTATTCGTAAATTGAATAAATAAGGAAGTATTTTTTCTTCTTACATCCTCCATTGCATTTAAAAGATTTATTAATGTCATTACCAAAGTACTCAGAGTGATTTATATATGTTTTACCTCTATCCTATATTTCTATTATAGTATTCAGGGAACAAACTTTAATTTCATACTATTGCAAAACATTCCATATTTGAAGCCTATTCATTTATCACACTCTCTAAATCAAACATGCAGTAAATGTTCCCACATTCATGTATTTCTCAATATGTGCTGATGAGCAAAAACTCTGGTCTGCATACCCTCTTATTACAATAAAACTTCACTTCAGCTTATAAATTTTGTTTCTTTTTTGGTTTTAAACAAAACTTTGCCAAACACTACCTTCCCAAGCACACAGAAAACAAATTTTCCTGTAATTTTTGTATTCATTTTTGAAATCTATATGTGGAAAATAATCACATTCCTCTAATTAAGGTCAGATATAGTCTTTACACATTAAATGTCAGAACTACTTCAAAAGTAAATCACATTCTGCATTCTTTCTTATCCAAGGTATAAATATTTTTTTTTCTAATGTGTGACCTTTGTTACTTCTTTCCATTTATATGTTAATCCAAATGCTATGCAAAGCCACCTTCCTCATTGAAGTCTCTCAACCTTTATATTTCATGTTTATTTCATTTCAACAGGTTGCTTCAAGTGGAGTCTACAGAATCTTGTTACACTATTTAAGGAAATAACTATCAAATAATGACCTTTAAGAGATATCATTGATCAGATTAATTTCTCTGTTATAGAGGGTGAATAAGAACTATATCAGTAGTACTTTAATATTTAATCATAATAATAGTCAAAAGTGAAATTAATCGTATTCTGCTTTTTAGCTATGGCCCACACTAATTTGTTCCTCTTTGAAACTGTCTAAACTATTCTTTAATCAAAATTGATAAAGCACGATTTACCAAATAAGGATTGAATATGGGAAGAAGGAAATCATGTTATATAATTTAAAAGCAGGAAAATTGTTTCAAGCATAATTGCTGTGAAGGAAGTTAGTCATTTTAGGTCTTTTTAGTTTTTGTTTTGGTAAGGTTATTTTTTTAGTATTCTTTCAAGCCAAGATTGCAGAAATTATTTATTTATGTGTTAAATTTTATTTGCTGTCTATCACACTATGGCTACTCTATACGGCTTCTGAGAATTTTCTATGATGTATTGCAGTTATTTAATGGTTTTCTTTATTCCTTCTCATATTCTCACCTGCCAATGTATTTATTATAAAAAGTTATTTGCTGCTTCACTGTTAGGAGTCAATAATGAGCATTTCAAATTCAAAAACAGAGTAGTACTAATATAAAATCATAACAACATGAATCAGCTAGATTCATCTTATCCTCACTTCAGTCTCCAAATACACATTAAAGCATTGTGTATTTAAAATTTTCTTGCATGCTAGAAGCAAGAGTACAGTTCTTTTATTTGGTGGAAGGGTATTCCACAGAAAGAGAACTTTACTTCTTTAATTTAGGTTCAACATGGATGACCTATGATCTTCCATTTCAAAACGGATCCTAATATTCTTCCTTGGCTTTGCAGGCTTGCATGTAAGAATTGGGCAGTATCTGACAAGCTATAAGCTTCTCACTACTAAACTAAATGCTAACTACCTGGAATAGAATCATGACCTCAATACAGATCAAAATGTCAAAATATGCAACCATGCATACGTCAGCCTTTCTTGTGTGCCCAGAGGAACGTACAAATTGCTTCATTTAATAGCTCAAGTATGGAAAAAATGCTATTAATAACAAGGAAATGAAAGATTAATATGTATGTTTAATTCAGACAAAAATGCAAATAGATGTATTGGTCCATTGGAAAATAAATTCCAAAGAAATTAATACTGCTTTTGAATCACCACAACATTTTTACAAGCAGAATTTTAAGTTTGAGAAGGACCAATTAGTAATATTTCTTCTTGCATCTTTAATATTTAGCACTAGTATCATTTTCATTGATCTTTTTAGCATTTCATATATAATATGTATTGACATTCTGGAAAAAATAATACTGAATTGATTTGTGCAACCTTTTTGAAAGCCATATGTATGTTTCCACCAAAATTTATATCATTTCTAGATTGTTCACATAAAATTGGATTGCAAGATTATTAGTACTATAAACAATATAAAATGTAAAATATATAAATATGTAAAATATTCAAAATGTTAATTCAAAATGTTGCCTAGCAATTTGATTTTTGAAATAAGTCCAATAGGTAAAAGGCTTTTCTAAATGACCACTCCTGTTCAGAAATCCCATCTGGATTTGGATTGCAACCTTTTCTCTTTAGGTCCTTTGTGTTTCAATCTATTCTGCACCAAACAACAGAATGTTGTATTTCATACAAGCAGCATGATGCACTGTGACATGGGTGTCAAACTCGCCACGTGATGTGTCGCAATGTATTGCGACTTGTTTTGCATTGCCGGAGCTGAGGTGGGCGCGGCCTCCATATGATGCAACTGGCCTGCGGGCCAGCATTTTGACACCCTTCCACTATGGTAAAATCAGCATGGTTAGCTTTTAAATAGGAGCATTAAAAAGCTATGCGTGACTAAGTCTCCAGTTGTAAAAATAACTAAATATATAAACTCTGTATGTTTAAATTCAGAAAAAAAGCATTAAACAAGAAAGCAAATGGGACTGTGTCAGATTTCATCAAAATAAATTATGCGTGTTCTAAATGGAAGAAGTATTTTGTGCTTTCAATACCCCATCTGCAAACAATAACTGCAATGTTAGTTTTTCAGATGGGTTCTTAGTATAGCTTAACACAACCAAATGAATTTAGCTAACATTACTTTATAAATGTAAAGATTAACAGTAATGGTTACATGTAATGCACAACAGAAGGATTTAATAGTTGTGCAAAGGGGTGTGTGTGTGTGTGTTTATATAGTCTGTTGTACCAATGGGTCCGAAATTGTTCATTCCAGTTCAAAATAGGTGGTACACAACTTTACTACATGGACTCTGTGCTGAAATTTCAGCTGATGATGCTCTTGGTTGCCATGCCAGAACTATGAATGATGTAAGCGGGAGCTTATTTTTCGAGCTAATGATTGACTTACTGCTTTTGACAGAACTTCAAACAGTTTTTATGTTTGCTTTGGGATTTTGCACCTGCTTTCTCCTGCAATATATTTTTAGCCAAGTTTAGAGATCTCTGGATGTAGCTGATCCTACCTGCATCATTTCATCTTGGATCACACCCCGATGCTTGCATAAAGCCGTGCTAAATCTTAATTCTATTTTCAAGACGGGTATTACTGTGCCTACAGTGATAGAAAAAGAAGAATCCCCCCCAAATTATTACTTCGGTACTTTTAAGCAAGCCAGTTAAGGGATATGGAAGAGCACTAGTAAGCAACCTTCTCTTGATCCCACGACTATTGTACAGGAAAAGTGGAAATTAAACCTGCACAGAGAGAGAGAGAGAGTATGTAAAGAACGAACAGATGTGCCATCTCTTAAGATTTGTTAAATTGCTGGATAATCCGATCGAATCTGGAGGCTTTGCCTTCTATTGTAGTTGTAAAGATTAGCAATAATTGGTTAGATAGGACAATCTTTGGGGGGCTGGGAACTCCTTCCTTCTTCCATTGATGAGGCCTTTCTTTGTGCATTCGCCCCACAATTCCGTTTGCGCTGCAGAGTTAAAACACCGTATCGCTTAGGACCCTAATTTTGTATGAAACGGGGCCGGAAAGCAATGAAAGAAAGAGGCGGGCGCTTCATTTTGGAAAAGCGAAGGGTTCTCCAAAGAGCAGCTCGAGAACTTGTGTGGCGGCGGCGACGCTGGGGGTGTCCTTTATTTTAGCCTGCCCAGGGACCTATAGCTGACTGAAAGGACCCAATTGGTACCTCCCTCTGCTCTCCTTGGGTATTTGGTACGTTCCTCCTCTGAGCGCCAGAAGAGAAGACAGGCGAGCGAAGCCGGCGGCTTCAGTGCGAGCGTCGCTTTCGCGGTGAGGTGCGCCCCGGGTAGCTTTCGTCGTCCATCGAGCGGGAAGGCTTTCCGTGCAACGGAGCGGCGACCGAGAATTATGGAGTACTCGATGCAGGGAGAAGTGTGGAAAGTGCAGACCTTGAAGGAGCTGGTCGAGATCCTGCATCACTTGTTTGCGAGCGATAAAGTCAATGTGGCAGAAGTGCAAACTGTAATGGAATCTTACGAGAGCAACCCGGACGAGTGGACCAAATATGCCCAGTTTGACCAATTCAGGTAAACGTGGGGGAAACCAGGGGGGAGGAAATGAATGCCTGCTAACGCCGAGTTATACCCTCGGAGCTTTTAGTTGCTCGCGAATGCAGAGAAAGAAATGCCTTTGGTGTGCAGCCCTTTAGATGAAAGCCCATTCTCTTCCGTTGCCCCCCTCCCGATTTTAAGGTGTGCCCAACTCTGCTACGCGAATCTAATTTGCAGCTTTCATAAAAAATATGCATAATTCATCCCTGATGGATAATGTTTTGTTACCAACACGGTTCCCCTTGGTTGCAAATGAAATTAAGTGGGATTTTTTTTAAAAAAAAAGAGAGAGAAAAAAAAACCCTAACTTGGAGCGAGGGTGGGCCACGCAATCCGGCGCTGGTTGGTAATTTAGAAATGAATGGGGTATCTTAGAAACAGCTGGGGAGAGCTGCTTTGGCAAAACTCCCAGACTGTCTAGCCCAGACTTTCTTGCAGTGTGACCCTTTTTATGCTGCAGGACGTCCTTGGTTCTCATTCGAACTTCCCGTTCGGGGAATTAAAGTGGCACCTGGACTAACCAACCTTTGTGTCCAAGGACGTCGTACTAGTTTTATCCTGCCTTTGCAGCTGATATGTTAGAATTGGCATTACCTGTTCAATTTTTCTACCGTTTTGTGCATCTGATTACTAGGTGTGAAGTTAAGTTGATCGTCTGGTTTTCATTTTGCAAGATTTTCCAAGAATTTCTTCATTTTTTTTTATACCGAATCTTCAGGAATGCATCTGAAAGGGAATTTGGAGCAATACAACCCTGTCTGTTGCAGAATATAATGTAAAAGAAGCGCTGCCTGTCTTGCAGAGATGTAGAGGAGTCGCTCTGTAATGTGATGGCTGTCAAATGCAGTTGAAAATCACATTACACAGAATGGCAACTTACAGTACAGTCTTGTATTTCCCATGTAATGCTGCAAAGTTGTTATACTTGATTCTGATGCTGGTTTGATTCATAATCCATAGGATGGACTTATAAATTGCATTCACAAACCTCCTAACAACATTAGCACGTAGTATGTCTTTTAAATCCAGAAGCTTCATATAAACACATCCAGTTGCTATTGGCCCAATTTGTGTGTTCTTTCATATTGATGGGGTCCTGTATAACTGCAACAGGTATTAGATTCTATTCCCATGTGGGAATGAGATCAAAGGATTAGATATCATCACTCAGTAGAGCTATTTGACATGTGCAGGTTGATTTTAAACAAAAGAGAACTTTGTCCCTTTGACCTCAAGGAACCAAAAGCTGAGTAAACTGCAGCACAGCTGTAATATCTGACTGATCATGCACATTTGTGAATAGCCACTATAATAAAATAGTTGTTACTACCCATCATTTATGCAGTTCACTCCCCTTGAACCTTATGGTTATCATCTACCATCTTCCATTTCCACAATCATACGTGCAAACATATTTTCTGCCTCAACAGAAACTTCATGTGTATGGTTAATTTGGTTTTAGTCTAGCAAATCAAATGCGTTGTTATTCTTTAGCATTATGATATTCTTTGTGGTCTATGTCACAACAGTCCAACAAGCATATTTCTCTGAAAGAGAATAAGAGATATTAGAGGAAAAAAATAACCTGCATTCAGTGATGTTGAGTATAGCAACATATATCACATTGATGTCTGCATTATGATAAGTAGGTAAATACTTAATGCAGACCCAACTCTCCGAGCTTGTAGTAGTTTGTGAACTAATTCTTTAAAGCTGCATCTTTCAACTAGTAGCATATCCCCACTGCCGATTTGAGTGAATCAGTTGTTGTTTATCCTTGCATATAGCCTTCTTGAATCTGGTATTGGCCATAGTGCTTGGAAATACTGCTAATCACAGCCAAGAGAAAGCACCAGGTCAGATATGCTGCCTTAACCATTAAGTTATCCTTCCCATATGTAATAAATAAAGGTCAAAAAGTGAGTTCTTAAGGTACATCCAAATCAATATGGTTGTTACATAAGTTAATCAGGATTCTATGACAGTGGTTCTCAACCTTTTTAATGCCGTGACCCCAACCGGTCATAAGTCGAGGACTAAACCGGTTGTAAGTCGAGGACTAAACCGGTCGTAAGTCGAGGACTAAACCGGTCGTAAGTCGAGGACTAAACCGGTCGTAAGTGGAGGACTACCCAACTGGTCGTAAGTCGAGGACTTTCCCTGCCTGGGAGCGCCACGCATGCGTGGTTCCGGCCCCTGCGCCGGCCGAGGCGTAGCTGGCTAGCGGCAGAGACCGAGCAGGCCAACCACCAGCTGGCCTAGCCCAAGGGAGGTAAGGCACCTGCCGGAAAAGGGGAAAAAATGGCGGACAAAAAAAATGGCAGACAGCCTTGCTTGGCGACCCCCGTGAAATGGTCGATCGACCCCAAATGGGGTCCCGACCCATAGGTTGAGAACCACGGTTCTATGACCTGATCATGTTTGGCAAAATACCAAAGATAACTCCCAAAACTTTGGAGAGTGACAACTAGTATTTAGAATATAGATGACCTCAGTGGCTGATATAGCAGGCGTGACCCTTCCTGGTACATTACATTTCATTTACAGGAGGTTAAAAAGGGTTAGCTGACTCCTTATCAGTGTTAATCTTCTAAGGTAAACAATGGCATTGATTACTTTTCCCTATAAGCTGCCAATTGGTTGGTAAATGCGCAACTGTCAGTCAAGGCCATCCTAGTTGCACAGGGTATCTTGCAAAATTACCTTTCTCCTGTCCTTCCAGTTCTCCTGTGAAGAATGTTACAGATACCACTGAATAAAGAATCCCAAATACATCTTTAAAGTAACTTATCTTGATCAACAGAAATCAAAAGCGCTGTTAACTTTCACATCTTTCTGGCATCCTGACTACTTTTGTTGTATATTCTGTTAAAAATTATTTAATATAAATAATTTCATTATTAGGATAGACAGCTGTTTATTTGCAAATGTAAGGGAATGTTACCATCCCTCCCCATACTTTGTGCCTTAGATGGTTAACTGCTATATATTTCTGTTCACGACAAAAGACAGGTATGGAGAGCCTGTGGTTTTAGCAATGTCTGAAGGATAGTAACACCCAGAAGCCTACATCTCTAACTGGGGTTGAAGCCAGATATATACATCTGGAAGGCCAGGAGTTCCCTACTATAGGTGTAGAGCAGTGGTTCTCAACCTGTGGGTCGGGACCCCATTTGGGGTCGATCGACCATTTCACGGGGGTCGCCAAGCAAGGCTGTCCGCCATTTTTTTTGTCCGCCATTTTTTCTCCCTTTTCCGGCGGGTGTCTTACCTCCCTTGGGCTGGGCCAGCTGGTGGTCGGCCTGCTCCGTCTCTGCCGCTTGCCAGCTATGCCTCGGCCAGCGCAGGGGGGCGGAACCACGCATGCACGGCGCTCCCGGGCAGGGAAAGTCCTTGACTTACGACCGGTTTAGTCCTCGACTTACGACCGGTTTAGTCCTCGACTTACGACCGGTTGGGGTCACGGCATTAAAAAGGTTGAGAACCACTGGTGTAGAGGGAAAGAAGACGAAATGATCAAATCATGAGCTAATGGTTATTTAGCATTTGATTGGTTGTCTCCTTTCCCTAAAGTAAATATATTCTATAAATTTAAAGGAAACTACTTATTTGAGGCTCAGGTGATTGGAAGCAGAGGGTAAGACTGGAGTGACCAAACAGCTAAGGGACTTGCTAGGGACCAACTCTGCAAATTGAGTATTGCACCATTTACATCACCCATCATATTGACAATTAAACGGAAATAATAGCAAGGCCTCTGAGATGCAAATTCCACATTTTCTGATTTGGGTGGCAGTGGAAATTTAGGTTTAAACCCATTTGTAGATCCAAATGTTTTGGCTGGATTGATATACTCCCTTAATGGCATTATTACCGTACTAGATGGCTTGATGAAATTGCCTGATACTGTATTATATGAATGCAAGCATGAATATTATCAGGATTACAAATAATAAAGCAAGCCACAACAAAGCAAGTTATTAAATACAGGAAGTCTTTAAAAATTAAGCAATATATCTTGGTACAATAAAGAGCTACGATTAGCTCCTCAGAATAGATGACTTGGTTATAGAGAAATAACTCTCAGGAATTATCTCATATTTAGGATGCTACAAGGTCCTGCTAACAAGTTTATGCACTTTCCTCTCTTAAGTCCTATGAAGAGAGTTTGAAGGAGTGGGATATGTTTAACCTTGAGAAAAATCTGAGGGGGAAGATAAAATGATAACATACTTCAAATACCTGAAAGAAGGTCACATAAAATGGGGCAGGACCAGTTTTGTCTCATTCCAAAGGACAAGATTTTGAATAGTGAACTTAAGTTACAAAAGGCAGATTATGAAGTGAGGGGAAAACCTTTCTAACTGAGCACTTTGACAGTGGAACCAATTATCCAGGGAGATTCCCCTTCGCTGGTTATGTTTATTCATAGACTATAATCTCTGAATAATTGGTTGATTGTGGCTCATCTTGAGCACTATTTGTTTTCCTAAAGCATTCAGGAATCCTTGAAGAAAGTAAGAATCCTTGTTTTCCTCTTCTTGAACCCTTTTGTTGCCTCTACTCCAACTGATGGTCCTCAAGACTCTGGTAAAACGCAAAATAGAATCCACAAGCCTAAATCTGATTATTCCTCTTGTTCATAAATTTCCTGCAGAGAGCTTTACAAAACGACTGTCTGCTCCCAAACAGCTGCCATGCTGTTTACCTATGCAACACACCTGAATTCTGGATAAAGCAATAAGGATTTAGTTTCATCAGTGATCAAATTGGAATGGAATTGGTTCCAACCCCATCTGTGTCATTTTCACTGATATCAGTGGTGTGTGTGTGTGTGTGTTCAAAACTGGCAAGATGGCAATTGCAGAACTGCAATCTAAGAGATCAAGGCTACACATACACATACAAAGGGGTAAGGCTTTAATCATGAAGGTGGATGGCCTTTGACACCCTGAAAATGCCACTGGTCACTTCGGGGAAACGAAAATCTATTTTTGAGTCATAGTATATCATAGTATCAGGAAATATCTGTATTAGTACACATTCCTGCTTCATACTTATATAGCGAACTGTGCCTATCAATTACAAAACAGAAACTGATTTAAGGTGCTCAATGCTCAACTCTCAAAATATTTTTAATTTTAATTTTAATAACATTTTTAATTTTACTAAAGAGTACAATATACAATAAAAAATGCAAACTACAAAAAAAACATGAACAAAAAGTGAAAAAACAGAAAAAAATATTTAAAAAGAAAAAAGAAGATAAAAAGGAACTTCTCCTTTTCCCCAGCAAGTATTAAACAACTTTAACAACTTATCACCAACTTTTCAAATACAACAATCTTTTAATCCCATATCTCACCTCATTCTCTATAAACATATCTAAAACTCCTTGTCATCCACCTTAATCAGCAAAACTCTATTAAGAGTTACCAGAAATGACCACATCTGTTACAAGCTTAATCTAATAAGACCACTTAATTTCCTTCTTTTCATTCATATCTCCTTTTCTCTATTCTTCAACAAATCTCCCAAACCTTATCCTTCAAATATATTCAATAAATAACCAAAAAAGCTACCAGAAATGTTAACATAATAATTCTAAATTTAATAAAAAAAAGATTTAAAATATAACAACCTTTTACCCACATAACTCTTTATTATTAACACAAAACCTTAAAATATCATCTTTGGTCCTAATCAGAAAAGAAATTAAAAATGGTCAGAAATAGAAGTCTTATTTTATTTATTTGTTTCTTAAATTTCTATGCCTAGGCAGCTCAGTCATTTAATAAAAATACCATATGAAATATTAAAATAATAAATAAAGACCATAAATTTAAATTTGTTAAAATTCAATTGACTAAGATAGAGGGGACGGGAGCGCAGTACACACAGGGAGGAGATGGGGTCTATCTAATTCATTAACCTTCTCCAGGATGCCATTCTCCCATTGGGGCTCCAGGCAGAGGTTGTCAAACCCTTTTAGAAGGCCAAATAAGTGGGTGAGGATTTCACCTCAGCTGGGCACAGTGTTCCCAACTGCAGGCACCACGGCAGAAAAGGCTCTTCTCCTGGACCCCGCCAGCTGAAATTCCTCAACCAGCAGGATCCGCAGCATGTTGCTTCTTCTCAGTAGAGCAAAACCTTAAAAACCTTACAGTCCTAGTCAGAAAAAATCCATTAAAAATTATCAGAAATAACAATCTATTGTTTAACCTTGGCCAAATAACCCACCCAATATTGCTTCCCCTTACTCCCAAGGGGAGTAAGTCTTGATCTTAAGCCCCTAGAAATAATACAACACATTTTTTTTTCATTTTGTTGTTGTCTTTTCTCAAAAAAAAATCAAACACATCTCTTTTATAAATCCAATACAAAAATTGTATATGCCACTTTTATGGTCTATTTTTGTCATGTCCTGTTTAATTATTAAAACATCAGCACGCTTGGTTTATAGGTTCAGCACCTTGTTTTATATCTATCTTATCTTTTTCAGCTTCATATTTAAGTAAATTTGATACTTGTTGAGTGAAACTTGTTTCTCTTCCATTATACCCTCTAATTTTTCAATAATGGCAGAAATTTTTAAGGGTATCTTCTCAATCACTTACTACATACGTATACTTCTGGATGTATCAATTATATTATTTGCTTCTAGTGGCTTCTAGGATCCAATCTTCAAAAACCCAACTTACCATTTTTCCTAAAAATGCAAACATCCAGTTTCCCATAGAAAGGATTTTATAATTTATTTCAATTTTTTAATTCCAAATCCTTTAACTTTTCAAAAACAAAGCACTCAAAAAACATTATTTGCTATATTCCAAAAATAATATGTTTCAAAGGACTTAGACTTGTATTTAAAACGTCTTTTACCTAGGAGAAGGAACCTTGCGCATTGAATACAGTAGAAACTTGTTGATCTCAACATTCTTAATATTTCCCCAAAGAATAAAAAGATAATTCAAGAAAAGATTAAGAAATGAGGTTCGGTCAAACTTTTTGTCCTTAAAAGACCATGTTACGATGGGTATGTCTAATCTAACAAAGAGAAGGATTAAAGTTGATTGATACCAATCTTCCAAAGTTTGAAGGGCTGCCCCACAGAGAAGGTGGGTCAACCTATTCTCCAAAGCACCTGAAGGCAGGACAAGAAGCAACAGATGGAAATTTATCAAAAAAAGATCTGACCTAGAATTAAGGAGAAATTTCCTGATAGTGGGAATAATTAACAAGTGCAACAGCTTCCCTCCAGAAATTCTGGGTGTTCCATCACTGGAAATTTTTAAGAAGAGTTTGGACAGCCATGTGTTTGGAATGATATAGGATATCCTGCTTAAGCAGGGAGTTGGATTAGGAGACCTCCAAGGTCCCTTCCAACTCTGTTGTATTGTTACTATTACTTTGATTCCCAACCACTCAACAACTCATAAACGGCCCACAAAACTATGGTTCCTGCAGTTTACTCAACAAGGACCAGCTTTTCTCGAGTGCATGTAATCTTTCCTTTCTCTGAAGAGATTTTCAAAGTTCAGATACAGCATCCAACTGCTATCTCGGTCATAAATGCCATCCTCTGTCAACAGGACATCTAGCTCACCATAATGCTCACCAGAAGTCCCCCTCATTACTCAAGTATTGACTTACGTTTTATAATGTTATTACGAGTTACATAAGAGAAATACAATGTCATGTAATAAAAGCGAGATTTCATTTTCTAGGACTGGATCATTTTGTTATGTTATATATCATATATTGGTTGCAATATTTTTGATAACACATTGTCTATGCATAAGTAAGTTTCCTGCATTTCAATTCTTTCTGTTTTTCATTTGGAAAAAAAAATTCCTTGCAGATAACTTCTAGTTTGCTCCATGTCTGGATGGTTCTCTGGTTTAAAACTACATACATTCACCTGGTAATATTTAAGACAGATAAATTGTGAATAATGTTTAAAAGATGTATTTTCTAATGAAAATGCATTAGGAAACTGTCCTTATTTGCAGCTTTTTAAAAATCAGACTTAATTCAAATGTTTTGGAGAATATCTGTTCAGTTCTTTTTCCTGTTCTGCGAGCTGTATTCTGTTATCTTGAATCTTATTGAAGAACTTCCTAATCAGAGACTCTTGTGTAACTCCTACCCTTGACACTCCTTATCTTATTTGTCATAATCTCTTGTTTGCTATATATAAAATTGGTATTTCATCAGGAAAATCTCTTCCTTTCTCTTTTGTTGACTCTATGCATACGTGTCCATGCATGTATGCACACGCTATATATTGTTATATAACTTTTCCTTTGGGGTATAAAATAACTCACACAGAAAAGTAGCTTTCCTTAATATGACTATTTGGAAATTATCTAATTCAAGAAGGATTTGGGTTATATTGTCAACTGGGTTGCAAATTTGTTTTTAATAAATTTGTTTGGAATTTTATAGCACTATATACATGTATTTTTTCTTTAAAAAAATTATTTGATGCTGGACTTCCTTTGAAATGAGAGAAGAATCTTGGAAAAGATTAGTATAAAATATAAAGAGATGGAGAAAAATGCATGTAATGTAATACTTGTGGCAGAAAATAATTATCTTTGTTCCTCCAGGGTTCAAGAAATATCCATCTGCATAGAGTGAAAGGTCAGGCATGGGGAGCCGAAGAGGAAAATTCCCCCCCACCACACACACACACATACACCATAGAGAAAAATTCCACAAGTAGACTCGCATATTCATTGGAGCTCACTAAACCTTAAGGAACTGTTTTCAAAAGAAAGCAAAAAATCTTGAAAGCTGGTGTCCACTATTAATCATATAGTCCAAGGGTGAAGAGACCAGGCTAGAAATCAGGAAACCATGAGTTCTAGTTCTGCCTTAGGCATGTAAGCTGTCTGGGTGACTGTGAGCTAGTAGCTCTCTCTCAGCCCAACCCATCTCACAGGATTGTCGTTGTCAAGAAAATAGGAAGAGGAAGGAGTATGAAGTACATTCATCACCTTGAGTTTTTTTATAAAAAATAATAAAGGTGGGATAAAAAAACCTCTAAATAAATATATGCTTTAGTCTATGTCCTGCAATCTGTTTAAATCATTTGACATGTGTTTATTGTCCAGCATCTGCCTGTAAAGTAACTCAGTATTATTTTCTGAATACTAGCATGCTATAAGTGCTCATAATATCAAAGGATGCAAAATCGTTTAATGTCTCAATACAGAAATAACCTTTAACGTGAAGTGCTTTTGGAACAGGATGGCAGCCTGTCTATGCCATTTCATATCTTCTTAAAAATTGTTTCTGCTTCCCGAAGGTAAAACTTACAAAGGCTCCCTGACGTTTTATCGTTTCAGATACACAAGAAATCTTGTAGATAAAGGAAATGGAAAATTCAATCTGATGATCTTATGCTGGGGAGAAGGCCATGGCAGGTTTGTAATTAAGAAGATACTAATGGTCAAAAGTCTGTGGATCCGATTTTACAATGTGAATACACTTGAATGCACTCTGAAGAGAATGTTGTTTATGTTGTAACTTATCAATAAATTTTTAAAGTCCACCTTTCCAACAGATTGATAACTTTTAAATTCACAGATCAAAACCAAATGTGCAACAGTTATCAATGACCATGTTTTTGTATACCTGATTACTTCTAATGGTCACTGGTCATTTGGTGAGGCTTCATTAGTGCTTGCTGTTTCTCTTGAAGAAGATTTTGTTTTTCCGTAAGAGTATAATGCATTCGGCCTGCAAAGGTTAGTCAGAACAGATAGAGCTTGTTTTAACTTCAGGAAAGCAAATGAAGATGTGCTTTGTTTTCTGCCTGCATTCAACAACCACCAAGATTAGTCCAAAAGAAGACCATGTTTTATAATGCTGCTATTTTAAGTCCCCATCTCCAGAACTGAGACTCTTAACACCACTTCTCATAAGAGAATAATTACCAAAAAGGTGGCTCAAAAATACAACCTCCCCATACACACCACACACTTTTTCGCAATTTTGTGACTTCTAGCAATTTTGCACACTCATTCATGTGTTTTCTTGGCAACAGTGTATAAAGGGTTTTCCATTGCCACCTTCCGGACTTCTAGGTCTCAGTCCCTCATTCTCACCCATACAAACACCAATCACACCTGACCCCTTTCAGCTTAACTGAGATCAGACATAACTATTTTTAAAAAAAGAAATAAGCATCAATTATAGAACCTCTATTCCTGGAAAGGCAACTCCTCCCATTTTCTAATATTTAATTTACAAGCATTTTTTGTTACACTTTAACATTATTTGAGTATGACTTCACAAGTGGGCCAAGAACTAGTCTATCAGTCCTGTCTATGCATACCATGTTGGAGAATGGGGAGGAATTCATTTATAATACAGTATTCATTCCCCCTTCATCCCATTTTTATTCTAACTGTAACTGTCAAATTGTGGGTATTAAAGAAGATTAAGACCACCTAATTCTAGCATTTTAAGACCGGGGCAATAAGAACAACAAGAGGCCCAGCATCACATTTGATACTGACACTGACACAGCCTGTCAGTTGTGTACAAGATCCTCTGGGAGCCTGAAGAATCCGCTTCTTCGGAACGCAGTCCACATAATGTGGTTACATGATTGTCTAATATGCAGTGATTTCCACATGGGTTCACCACTAAAAATCACATACATAGGAATATCACCAAATTATGGTACACATCAAATGCTGGTGGACATCTGGATTCCTTCATAAATGTTCATCCTATCCCTGCAATCTTCAGTGATAGGCTTCCACTGCCAGCTACAAATGACAAAAACAGGGTGAGCATTGCAAACATATGTTGTAAGTGGTTTTATAGCTTAGCCAGAAATAGTTCTTGAAAACAGTCTGTCATTTTATTTCTGGTTTTTGCAGGACTGCTATCTTGATTGCTTTTGTCAGAACAAGTTGCTTTAGCGCCACTTGGTGACTTCTTTCTTTGTGCTTTACTACAATGGTAGCAGGGTTTTCATTGCTCTGACCAGCCTCTATAAGATGGCTCCAGGGTTTGACTGAAAGAGCATTGTGTTATGATGGCTGCTTAAAACCAGGAGTAGAATGCTCCTCTTATTCCTTCTCCACCCCAGTTTTTTCCTTTTTTTTTTCAATCTGCCAATATCTCTCTGAAATGTTGTTGGCAATGTGGCAAAGGATAACATATCCTTTTTATGTGCAAGAATGGCTTGGAATCCTGAGATCCTGAAATAACAGTTGTTCTCAGCTCTCAGGCCTCTAGGGCAGACATGTCAAACTCACGATGTCACGTGACATTGTACGACGTATCGGAACTTTTTCCCCATTGCCGGCAATGGGGTGGGTGCGGTTTCTTCGTGACGCATCCAGCCCACGGGCCGGCACTTTGACACCCCTGCTCTAGGGCAGCTATGCTGGCTCAGGAATTCTGGGAGTTGAAGTCCACAAGTTGTAAAGTTGCTGTAGTTGCCCATCTCTGCTCTATGGTAAAACCGGTTTCCATGACATGGAAGGATAATGAGCTTTGTAAGACAGAAAAGGTCCTGCTCCATTTTTTAGCTTGTTCCTTAGTTAATAAGAAACAGAATAATACTGCTTCTGGTTTGGTTTTTTATTTGTTTTGTTTTTCTGGAATGTATGCTATTAATTTTGGAAAATTATTGTGGCTCATTTCTACTTTAGTTTGCACCCATTACATTCCTGTTAATCCTTATACTAGATCAGATCAGAGCAAGCACACAATCACCCAATTCAGCTGCAAAAATATAGCTTGATGCTTACTTAGCAGCAAATATTGAAAACAGTAAACTGGCAAGACTGTAATAAAGGCTGGCAAAATAGAGAGGGAGACGTGAACCACAAGCAAACAAAATTTATATTGTCTCAATTATTTATCAAAAGACATAGAACTTTCCACTGGGGAAAGTATACTGGGGAATTAGCATGGACATTCTCAAACCAAGTGACCTTAGGCTATTGCAGCCTTATTTCTATTCCAGAGATGGAAAGTAGGATACCAAGTGATTCCTCTTCTATTCTGCATGTGAAAAAAACCATTTTGTGGATATGGATGGTGTACGCAGCAATTACAACCATATTCACAATTTTACCCATCACATTTATGGCCAAAATTGAGGGATTACAGGTACTTGGATGTTTAGAAAGATTAGTTAGCATGAAGTTCTGCTGGGAAGCTGCAGTAGTGTCTAGTAAATTTGCTTACACGGTTCTGCTTGTAGTCAAATGCATTTAAGGTGCCAACATCGCTTAATACATTTCAGTCCCTTATAAGAAAAGTAGAACTCTGAGAACATTACTATTGATAAAATAGTAGGGCAGTGAGGTCTGTAATAGTAAATCTATGGGTAAGAGTTGTTTCTACATAGTTTAACACTGTTTCCAAACCTAAATATTGGCTGTCTTAGTTCTATTTCTTTCCTAGCCTCTTTGAAATATATGTGTTTTATAACCTAGATACTTTACTTTTTTTCCCTTAACTGTGTTGCACAATATAAGTACGTGGCATTTATTTTCTATTGCAAAACAGACAGAGAAAACAAATACTGCCAAATTGGTTTTTAATAAAAAAAGATGTGCAAACATATCATATAAGTACTAAGGCTCAGAAATATAGCATTAATAATGGTAGATCTTAAAGCATATTAGGAAGCTTGCAGGACAAAAATTTTATAACTAGCATATAAATAAGTATGCCTGTATGAAAGACATAATTGCAGACGGAGTTTACAATTGAAGGGTCAATGTAAAATTTTATTTAAGTAAAAAAAAAGTAAAGATTGCACCTGAACTGTCCACTTTTGCTGAACTATAGTTCCCAACACCCTCACCATGGATCATTTGGCTGGGATACTGGGATTAAGAGTTTAGCAACACTTGGATATTGAAAGTTGGCTGCTTTGGAGCATTGTAAAGATAAGACTCGTTCGAACAGAACGCAACCTCTAGTTAATTCAGGGATATGTCTATTTAGTTTTCTTGGCAACAAGGAATAACTGGTTTACCATTTGCCTTCCTCCAGGGTATTCCCTCCTCCCCCCCCCCAACTTCTCAGTCTAATTTACAATTCTGGAATTTCCTGGCAATCTGCAATCCAAATACTAAGCAGGTCCAAACCTTGCTTAGCTTTTCCAGATCAGCCAAAGATGGTGGTTTATTGCTGTTACCTAACTGGAATAGAACATTATATTCATGATAATTGAATTTGTAGGGCATGTTGCGCCATGCAAAACAGCAATTATTTTTGTTTATTGCCAATGTGCTGTCTGGGAATTCTGGAAGTAGTATTTTAACTCTTTGGAAAATGCCAAATTGTGGAAAATTGATCTAGTATATAACACAGACACACACACAACACATCTTACAGCAGGGGTTCCCAACCGGGGGTGCGAGATGATATTCCAGGGGGTGTGAAAACTTAGGTTTTCAAAATTATAGTGTATATCCATAATTCATTATTTCAAACTTTTGTAAGGGGTGTGAGAATATATTAGAAGTGTTCTAGGGGCGCGGGGTATAGAACAGGTAGGGAGCCTCTGCCTTATAGGCATCAATCTTTCTGACTTTATGCATTTTTTGAAATCTCTGTTTTTGTAGTAGTATCCATGATCACACAGATTCACACTGTTTTATGAAGCTACTTCAAGGAAACCTAAAGGAAACTTTGTTTGAGTGGCCTGGCAAAAAGGGGACTGGAGAGATGCTAAAAAAATCAGAAAGAGTGTTAAAGAGAAATCAGTGTGCCTATATTAATGGTAAGTCATTTTGCTTTGGTATCTTTAAATTTAACATTACTTTCCCCAATAGTGATTACCATTAAAGTTTAATTTTTTATGGTATGGTAAAAGTCATGACACGGTCCTTCTATGATTTTTGGGGAAATAACCTTATTTTTCCTGCTTCCGTAAATGACTTGTTTTGCTTGCTTGCTTGCTTATTTATATATACGTACGTGCATGCATGCATGATTTTTATTCCATAGCCTTCAACAGATTATGGGAAGCTCATTTAATCTCCTCCTTACAATTTTAACAGTTTACCTCCAACAGGGACCAACTTAGACACTGACATGGCATCTACTGACAGCTTGGTAATTCAAAAAGGTCTTATTGATATCCCAACTGCCATCAAAACTATTGCTTAGTGCAAGGAACATAGGTTGCCCCTATGCCGATCATTCATTTATCACTTAGTCATCTCACCTTCTCTTTTCCTTTGGCATATTTTGTCTAGTAATATTTATTATGATTCAGCTCTGTTCTCTAATCCTAGAGGACAGGAGTGGAACAAGAGATACTGCTTGATCCTCCCAAATGCTGCCAATTTCACTCTTGTAAAAAAAAAAATATGGGGAAGATACTTGAATCCCAGAATTGTTGCATTTTTATGACAGAGGCATACCCTATGAATTCCTAGCTTGTCCTTAAAAAAAGCCCCCTTCATTTTGCAATATTGGCTATTATCTGAGGAAAAGAAACTTCAAAGATTATATTTTCTACCCTGGACAGCATGTTACTGGATAGGGGAAAAAGATGATTTAATTGGAGACAAAATTGAACTGATTTTTAGAAAATAACTTTATTGACAACAAAACAAAACAGAGAGAAGAGAATGTGTTCAGTTCATGTTAGTACACCATTGTTTGAATATTTTTCTAACTTTGGAGACAAGATAGAGAATAGATAGAAAGAACAACAGTTGAAAATACACCAGTCCTTAATTTAAAATACTGACTAGATTTCCTTTCCTAACAGCTTGTAATTTTCCATCAATTTTTTCCCCAGAAAGCTAAACTATTTCTTTCTAATCTGTGTCATTTTGACTTACTGTATACATAATAACTAAAACGTTGGATTCTATATAATTTTGATAGCGGGGATTTCAGTTAGAAAACAGAAGACCGTAAGTTTTCATTTGACCTTAAGCATGAAAAACAGACTGGGTGACTTTGGGCCAGTCACTCTCTTTCAGCCCAACTCACCTCACAGGATTGTTGTTGTGGGAAAAATAGAAGGAGGAAAAAGAATTAGGTACATTTGCCACTTTGAATTATTTGTAAAGATAATAGAGAGGGGATAAAAATATTTAAAAAGATCAGTAATCTGATCCCAGAGATTATCTTCCTGTCTCATAATAGCTACTAAATATTTTTAATAAGCTTTCACTTACCTTGCTGCTACTAAGTTTTCCTTATCTTCAAACCACATAATTTTCCATTACATTCCTGAGAGTTGTCTTCAGTTTGTTTTATTTGTTCTGTTTGCCACAGTGTTTTTCCTTTCTCCCAAGCTGTCATCTTATTTACCCGACCATCCATAAAACATCCATTTCTTTAAAAAAAAATGTTTCCCTTCAAACCATCTTTCAGCTATATGGTTGCACAAATTACATGCTTACAGTAGATGTTGAACGTTGCAAATTATCTGTTTTTTAAGTTTAGAAAAGTTTGTTCTGCATGGCCATATTCTTAAATAATAAAGAAAACTAAACCATTCCTGACTAAATTAGAAGCTACTTTTGGTATTAGGCACTTCTGGGTCCCTGTCCCTCCATTTGTTTAAAATAACAAAAAATAAAATTATGTGACTCCATATCTGTAGATATACAATGGCAGGTTTAGTATCTTCTTTCTCTCCAAGTAGAGGAAAAATGGGTGCCTAACCTTTCCTGTTTTTCCTGGCCATTTTATTTTTCTGGCTTTGTGCTGGAATTCAGAAGAAGAGGCTAAGCTGGAGCTAACCTTCTCTTCCAACTCCAGATGCAAATGAAATCCAGGTTAATGAAACCTTCTTAATATCTGGCATTTGACCTATATATCATTGCTTAAAGTCCTTTACATCAGTTAGTCCATGAAGCTAGACATGACACTTTCTAATTTTTTGGCTTTTCTCCTCTCAACTTCGTCAATCTATATATACCAAGAAGGATGTCCTGGTAGTACTACTATGTACTTTTCAACCAAGTATTGTGATTTAAGAAATGCTAACACCATGTGCATATCCAAAGGAGGAACCCATAACCATATTCCAGTTCAGCACCAAATATATTTCTGCCAGCTGGATGACATTGAGACAGCTATATGTGCCTGGTGTCCAAACTAAATAGACCCCTTGCTGCTATTCTGGCAGTCAGAAGAGGAGAAAATGTAATTTCTTTTGATGCACAGGTCTATGAAAACCTTGAAAAAGGTAGCCAGGGTCTCTGCTGCTACCTTCATTCAAACACCAATAGTTTAGGTTCTCCATCCCCAAATACACATTCCCTTTCCCTGAAAAGACTGATCATTTTAGCATCTTTTGATAACTTTGAGGTTTGTTACACTTTATTTTATGTATGTGTATGCTCACTTTGCATATTTATTTTATCATGTTTGCCTGTGACAGTAAGTAGCTAATCAATATATATGTTTGAATACAAGTTGAAAATAACAGGTTCCTTCCTAATCCGAATATTTGGATTCATACGGCCAGCTGGGATTGCTGTTGACTTGATTAAATACATACATTGTTTTTCTTTTCTGGCATTTCTTCCCATTCAAATTTTAGTTTTATATAATGAGAATAACTTCTGTTTCTGCAATTTTCCTGCAGTGCAACAGGGAGAAAGCAGAACTATTTAACTCGTTTTTCGCATCTGTCTTTACACAAAGGGAAAAAAACAGACCAACCTATCAAAAATAGTGCCATAAAAAACAAAATATAAATACAAGTTAAGATAGGCAAGAAAATGGTGAGCACCTGTCCAGCCTAGACAAGTTCAAATCACCAGGACCCAGATGGATTACATCCCAAGGTTCTCAAGGAACTGGCAGATGTGATCTCAGAACCACTGAACTATATTTTTCAGAGATCCTGGAGCACTGGGGAACTACCAGAGGACTGGAAAAGAGCTGATGTAGTTCCCATCTTCAAAAAAGGGGAAAAAAAGGACCCAGGAAATTACAGACCTAACAGCCTGACCTCAATACCTGGGAAGATCCTGGAAAAGATAATCAAACAACGAATCAGCGAACACCTACAGGCAAACAAAGTCATTACTAAAAGCCAACACGGGTTTGTCAAAAACAGATCATGCCAGACAAATCTTACTGCATTCTTTGACCAAGTGACAAAATTAGTGGACCAGAGGAATGCTGTGGATATAATTTACTTGGACTTCAGTAAGGCATTTGACAAAGTAGACCACAACCTACTACTCGAGAAGATAGAAAAATGCGGGTTAGACAGCATCACCACCAGATGGATCCGTAGCTGGCTGACCGGCCGTACTCAGCGTGTGGTCCTCAATGGAACCACATCTACATGGAGGGAAGTGTGTAGTGGGGTGCCCCAGGGCTCTGTTCTGGGCCCAGTGCTCTTCAACATCTTCATCAACGATCTGGACGAGGGGATAGATAGGGAACTCATCAAATTTGCAGACGACACTAAGCTGGGAGGAATAGCCAACACTCCAGAAGACAGGCTTAGGATATAGGAGGATCTGGACAGACATGAACACTGGGCGCTATTTAACAAAATGAATAAGGCCACACTTGGAATACTGCATCCAGTTTTAGTCACCACGATGTAAAAAAGATGTTGAGACTCTAGAAAGAGTACAGAGAAGAGCAACAAAGATGATTAGGGGACTGGAGGCTAAAACATATACAGTAAAGGAATGGTTGCTGGAATTGGGTATGTCTAGTTTAATGAAAAGAAGGATGAGGGGTGACATGATAGCATTGTTCCAATATCTCAGGGGCTGCCACAAAGAAAAGGGAGTCAAGCTATTTTCCAAAGCGCCTGACGGCAGGACAAGGAGCAACAGGTGGAAGCTAACCAAAGAGAGAAGCAACCTAGAACTAAGGAGAAACTTCCTGACAGAACAATTAACCAGTGGAACAACTTGCCTCCAGAAGCGGTGAATGCACCAACACTGGAAGTTTTTAAGAAGAAACTGGACAGCCATTTGTCCGAAATGGTATAGGGTTTCCTGCCTGAGCAGGGGGTTGGACTAGATGACCTTCCAACTTTATCATTATTATTATTATTATTATTATTATTAAGTAAAAATGGCAACTGCCAAATAAAATGCAGAGGAGCTATGTTGGCTTGTAATCCAGCCACATCTCCCAGTGCTTTGTGTGGTTCTTTATCTATCTGTCTATCTGGTTTTTTGATTTTTTTAAAGCCTTTAAAACCCATAATAGCCTATTTTAGGATTGAAATAATTGTAAATAGGCTTAGGAAGCCCTTCATTGCTCTTTCACCATTTTGTCTTCAATTTTTTTTTTTAAATGAGATGGAGTCTTAAAGTGCTCTTTTGTGGAGCTGGTCTATGTCCTATGGCCAGAAAGGAGCATTGTCTTTCTAGATTTGCACGACACAACGTGATTCAGTAGTATAAACTTCAGTTACTCCAGAATACTTTGCTGGGAGTCCAATGCCGATTAAGAAATAAACTGGGTTCCTGGATATGCATGCTAGGCCTTTGAAAGACCCATTTAAATATAGCACGTTAATAAAGCAGCGGGTGAAACTGTCACCTAGTGGGCTTCATGGAAGGGTGGAATTGAGAACTTGGGATCTGCCCAAGCTAACTGCTGCACTGCATTGATTTGTTATTCTTTGTAGACTCCATTGGTTTGCATCGTGTGGAGAACCCAAGCCATACCGAAACAGCTGTCAGTCTCCACTTGTACAGTCCACCTTTTGAAATCTGCCAGACCTTTGATCAAAGAACTGGACACAAGCAAAAAGTTAAAATGACGTTCTATAGTCAGTTTGGAGAAAGGACTCCATATGTAAGTATCACTATGTGTCTTGTCATTTGTGGTCGTGCTGACAGAAGCAATGAGGAAGCAGCCAGGAAAAATACTGTAACCATGGCTAGACAAGGATATTAAAAACATAATAAGCTTCAGGATTGTTGAAGAGAGAAAAAAAATACACACTGGATTTATTATAAAAGTTTCTATTCTGACTTTTTCATTACTAAAAAATAACTTCCAAATAGAAAATATTATACACATTCAGGATGGCCCGTCTTCATTTTAACATTTCATATTGCAACTCTGTATATATATATTTTTAAAGGAGACTAAAAAAAGGGAGGGTGCCCTTTGAAAAAAGAACAAAATATTGGAACTTGGGAAATCAGAGTAGGCTACTGTCCTTATTCTGATGTGGTTCCCTCAGGGCAGACATTTGAAGAAAATTGAATTATGCAGTTCTCTGCCTTCAGTGTTAAAAATGCTGGTCTGCATGATAGCCTTTGAGAAGTGTCTCAGCTAAAAAAAGAATAAAACCAATTATTGATTATTAACCATTATTATTGATAGTAGTTTAACACTAATAAATGATGATAATTATATATTTTTTAGGTATTTCACAAATCAATTCCACTCCTTCCCCTTATATGAAACAGGCAAATTTGTTTTATACCTCAGGAAATTATTGGAAAATGTAATAATACTTAATACTATATTTTTCAATCATACAGTTATTTAGAATTTCATGTCACAGAGACCGTCTGCTTTATTTAAAATAACTGAAAACTCTCCTTTTATCTCTTTCTTTCTCTAGACTTCAGCAATTTCTCAAGAGAACAACTGAGAAGCACAAAACGTATCGACATATATTCTTTTATTTTGTTAGAAATTGTTGGAGCAAGAGTAGAAGAATTATGTGGCTAATGCCAGTATCAAGCTGTATCTTTATGCAGGACTACATAGCTGTCCTATATGAAAAGCAGCTTTTTAGCTATGGTTTCTTTCTCTCTTTCTCTCTCTCATACGTAAATACTAAAGTGCAGAATATAGAAGATTCTTGCAGACAACCAACAAATATAAGAGCATGGGGGGGGGAGCAGAATGCCTCTGATTAATTCTAAGACTGTGCACACAAACATTGTACTTAGCAGACCTTCAGAATGAATGTACACTACTTACACTAATTTTATAACTTGTCAAACTCCACTCCGTGTTCACATTAATTCCTATCCAGTGTATACTTTATGTTGAAAGAGAATTCTTTTTATCATGGATGTAATAATTTGTTGGAATTTTAATTGTGCATTTTAAAATCTAACGTGGAATTACTATCTTTTTTAGTAGGAGCAATAAAGCATATCCTGTACAATGTTTTATTCAGAAAAAAAGTGTCTGTGATTAAGTTAAGGGTGATGAAAGGGCTCAACTGTTAATGTTTCAGGTGGGTTGTATTATTAAAACCTGTCCAATTACCTTAGTAAAACTGATTTTTAGGCACACTTGTACTATTGATTTTTTTTTAAAATATAGTGTTAATGATGAATTTGGTCCACAGAAACTGGTCAATATTTTTGTTAGACCCAACCATTACTAAGGACAAGGGGAGAAAGAATAGTGATTTTTATTTTTATTTTTTTCTGAATCTGGGATGCTTATAAACACCATATCTAGCACTAGAAACTAAAAGGCACCGAGCAAGTATTCCATTTTTTTCTTCAACAGAATTCTTTCTTGTGACAAAAAAGATTTGGTTGATTTGCTAATTCAAATTGGAACTCTCTTTCACAGAACAAAGACCATGTACTTGTGCAGAATCTGACAGCAATTACTTGGGAGTTCACTTCAGTAAACTACCGATAGTAGAACTTATACTACACAAATGTGCAAAAATAGAGTTGGGGATACTTTCTTCCAAAATTATGTTCACTTCAGTGACATTTGTATAGTTCCAATAAAATTCAAGGCCAGAATTACTGAACGTTACAATGGCTCTTATTTTAGCAGCTTATCATTGTAGCTGTACTAAATGTCATGGAAGCTACTTTCAAAATTTTATTATTTATATAAATTATATAACATGGAGCTTTCAAGGCTCCAGCCCAATAATTTAAATAAGAGTGTGTATGTATACATGTGTGGATGTGTGTGTGTGGCAGGTCGAGCATTATATAATCATAAAATAATATAAAAGTCAATCAAGAACGAGTTTGGTATAGCGGTTAAGGCACCAGCTACAAACCAGACTCTGATTTCTGCCTTAGGCACATAAAGGTTCTTTCTCTCTCAGATTTAGGAAGAAGGAAAAGATAATCCTCTTTCCAAAATGCTGCCAAGAAAACTGCAGAGAGTAGTCCAGGCAACAGTGACTCAAAGGCACACACAGACACTCAAAAATCAACTACCTACATGAAACAAACCATTTTGTGGAAAACAACGTGAGTGCCTCCTCCCACTTTGGAGATAAAGTCTTCTATAACAAGGAGGCCACTATACAGAAGGATTGTATAGGAGTCCACATCCCTTTGATCTTTCCTAGTTTGGGTTCCCTAAGCATGGGATCCTACTCGCACAAACGGGGTGCAGATTCCATCTACAGGAGACCATATCTTAAGTTAATGGATTGGTTCCAGGATGCCTCTAGGTAGAGTCAACCCAAGCTTGTTCTAGTCTGCAAATTCAGGATCAGGATTTCCATACCATCTCTAATTTGGGCAGGAGGTCATTGTAAAACTGAGAAAAATCAGCATATTGATGATACCTTACTCCAAACCAATTGATGACCTGTGCCAGTGATTTAATATAGATGTTTAAAAAGGGGAATGTATTGTGTGCTACAAGACTATATTAGAGTACTCATAGGTTTGACTTCATTTCCCATTGCTTCAGCCAACTGAAAGAAGTCATTAGGGCAGAACAGATGAGGAAGATAGCAAGAGCAAGAGCACTTATGCTTATATACCGCTTCATAGTGCTTTGCAGCACTCTCTTAAGCAGTTTAAAATGTCAACATACTGGCCCCAACAATCTGGATCTTCATTTTACCAACTTTAGAAGGATGGAAGACTGAGTCAACTTTGTGCTGGTGAGAATCGAACTGCTGCCAGTTAGCAGAATTAGTCTACAATACTGCATTCTAACTACTGTGTCACCATGGCTCTTATTTCAAAATTTTAAAATACATAGGAAGTAACAGTAATTATATTTACTTAAAATGTGTAATTAACCATATGTAGTTCAAGTGCATCAGATGCCAAGAATAAACCATAAGAATAGTTCTATATTTAAACACATATTGACAGAAGTAAATTATACTTCCTTTTGGTGAATTACGCAAATCAGTCTAATGGGATTTTTGCTTCAAGTACAGGTCATAGCAGTTTTTCCATACTTTCAAAGTTGTTTTTAGTAGCATTCAGACACAGGATAGAAAGACTGTTTCTGGAATGTGTGCTTGATATCCTGAAGAATAAAACTATTCTTTCACATGAGAATTGATTATGCAGTATGGTTACGCAGAATTGATTATGCAGTAAGTTGCTAATTCACCTTTTCAGATAGATAACTCACTGTGGCTACTTATTTACAAAAGATGCTGCTAAATGATGTATCTGTTGTTTAACCATGTATACTTTATTGAATCTACCTATCTGTGATATAAAATGGTCTCAGCGTTTGCTGATGAAAGGAGTAGGATTTGGTCCTTCAATATTTAGTAAACCTGCAACTTTAAGTGGAGACGGTGTTGGGAATAGTTCAGAAACTTTGGAGGGTCACTTATTGGTCACTTTGAATGTCAGCTTCCAGTACACAATCTGTAGCCCCACAAAGTCTTTATCGTGTCCCCACAAATTCAGCTACCAAATTCTAAAGTTTGATAACAAGGGAAAAATAAAAAAATACATGGGAAGTAATGCTAATTATATTTACTTAAAATGTAATTAACTATATTTAGTTCAAATGCAATTACACTTAATTTAAATGTAATTAAAATTAAGTTAAATTATTTCTTTGTCCAATATTCAAAAATATTGTGTAGCCGTGCTGTAAATTTATCTACTATGAATTTACAAGTAGATGTAGATCCTAATTCCATCACATACTGCTGGTTGCCTCGTATGGAAGTGAAAAGGAGGTGTCAGGAGTCTATGCCAAGAGTGAATAATCCCACCAGGGTCATACAAGGCATGAAGCTCATCCCAACAGCCCAACTAAAGCAAACAGGCACCTATACTGAGCAGCAGCTATATGGGAAGATGATCACTATAGTGTAATGGAATTTGTGCATGGCCTTAGTGAACAAGAGGAAGAAATGCTGCCTACTAAACAATCAGACAAGAGAGACGGCCACTTAGAAAGGACCCACCCTAATGGATCAAGCAGTTAAAACTGGCGGTGGCAAGTTTATACTTTCAGATTTGCAATAATCTGTTAATATAACCTTACAATAAAGTAGAATTAGTTCATCTGGTTGTGTTTCTTGCCTGGTTTACCTGGGAGGGCTGACAGTAGTGGCACAACAATTTCCTACTACATAGGACAAGGTAATGGTAAACCACTCATATATTTTACCGAGAAAAACACAATGATTGATAATATAAAGTGGCTGATATATAATGCTGAATGATAGGTCACTCAAATCAAAAATCATTCAACGTGCTGCTGAAGAAGAGTTGCAGAACTTTCAGAATCCTTTGCTAGAAGAGACCAAATATCCATGTCATCTACAGTCTTAATTCCTTTAGGAGAATTAATCAGATGAAATAGGGATCCAACAGGCAAACATACAAGCAAGGCCTCTATCTGAATAACTGTACTCATAGGCTTAGTCAAGGTCTGTGGATACATTTGTAATTTGCTGCTTAATTCTTCCAGAAAAGTAATCTTAATAAATCAAGTTGTACAAGAAACATTTGTTATTAGTGAAGCTGGTATTTTTTAATACAGTACTATCTTTGTGGCAACTATATCACTTTTTTTCCTTCTAAAATAAATAAAGATTTGGCTGCATGTGTGAAATAACAAAGGGCATTTGTGATCATTTGTCAAAAGTTTTTTTAAAAAAAACCTCACATGAAATATTTTATTTATCATACTTTGCTTTTTAATAATGTCAATTCTTTAAGGAAACATAATGCAGCATTGTTAGGGCAAAAATCCTGCTTTTTCTGCCTTTCCCTCATCTTGCTTTCTATATGTAATCTAAAAGAGTACCCTGGGACAGTATCCTTTCAAACTGAAATAGTTTAATTGCATAATAATTTTAATTGTAATATGCAATTTTATTTTCTGTTTATGTATAAAAGAAAACATTTTGTTCCTTGGCAAAGTCTATCAAACTTCCATGGTTACCTTCAAGATGAGGTATGTAGGAAATATAGAATTATTCCTAGAATGGTCGAGATATATTTCAGGCATGTGCTGGAGATTTAGAATGATAGCTAGAATTTTTGAAAAACCATTCTAGTGTGGTCAACCAACATATAGCAACAGTTATTCACATAAGGAATACTGCATGATAATTCTTCCAGTAACAGTGACATTCCCAGAACTAGGACACCTGATTTATCATCTTTTGACCAATAAATATCCACTAGAACTGTCAAGGTTTGAATGGGAAAAAATGTAATGTAATTGAAACCAATACCTTAACTTGCAATTAGGCACAGTTGGTGTACATCAGAGAAACAATAGTTTCATTAATGTTGGCATCATTTGATACTTGTTTGCTTTTCTCTACTCTGTTTCCATTTTCTCAATAACAATAATATATGTGCAGGGGAAAAATGAATTTCTATGCTTAGTCAGCAGTTACAGAATGATTAATCAAATCAAAGTATTCATTACTGTGGATTATTTATTTCATTTGATACACTGTTGACTAGTAAAGTCCATCAATGGTTTACAGCGGAAGACCAATTTAAAATCAGAACATTTAAACAGTTAAAATAGCAGTTTTAAAAATCGAGTAAAACAAGTACAATTACTAATTAAGAATAATGGTTAAACTCAGCCTTAAAAGCTATGCAAGAGAGATATGTTTAAGGACCTTTCAAAAATGAAAAAAGTTGTGAGGCCTATCAGGGATGTGTTTAAGAACCTTTTCAAAATTTCTAGCTAACATTCCTAAGGAGCACTTTCCCAAGAGCCGGGAGAAGGGTCAGTCCAAAATCAACACCAAACCAGCAGGCACCAGCTCTAGGTCTTCAGATAATCTCAGTAAAGGTGGACATTAATAGAGAAGTTGGAATTATGTCATGTAGCCAGGACTTAAACTATGCAGGAGTTTCATGGTAGTGATCAGCCCTTGCATTTTACCCTGAAAGCCACTGACAGTTATGACACAGTTTTAAGCCTAGATTTATTATGAGCTCTAT